TCTAGATGGACGTCCAACCTTCCAGTCACTCCCTCCACCAGCTGTCCCCGCAGAGCAGAGTAATTTTCCAGGCCTCCAAGTATCGGATTGCCTCGTAGGTCGTGGGTAGGGTTGCAACAGGGAGACGAGTATTGATTGGTTCAGCGATCTTTCGCTTGGTTATGTTAGACAGAGCAATGAGATGGAGGTCCCCAGAGGATGTTTGCACAGTGCGTCTTCTCCAAGAAGAACTATTCATTCCAGCAGTCCAGTCACAAGCGCCAGCTTTAAGACCCAGTATTTACACAATCCCCACAAGCAGCCCATGGGCATGTATTATGGTAATATATGCACGGAAAATCAATACGTCAGCCATTCATTATTTTCAAAGCATGTAAGCAGTGGTTATCTCAATTGTAAACTAGACCAGTTGATATTGAAATGCTTCACAGAAAGATATGTGCTGGTGTTATTTGCCATCTATCTCTTTCTGACTCGCACAGGGTTTCTCTTCATGGATAAGGAGGTACAAATCATATGCTGCAGATGAGGTGCTAAAAATCTGCAGTTTAGATCAGCGGCCTGCCTCATTTGTACATAGCAATGTGCAGACACACAAACAACTCAACCCAACCTCCTTTATTTGTAAAAAGTAAAACAAATGAATAGCAAATTTTATACAGCAAGATTCAAACAACACCTAAAGCAATGCAAGTAACACCAATAATAATGAAATCCTGTTTTGGAAGGAACTGAACCAATATCAATAAATGCATTTAATAAATGAATCTAAAGTATTAGGCTACAAATCAGAAACCAGTTTAAAATAGACGTCTTTAACTTTTAAGTATATGCATGAGTGCACCATTCTGAAGAGGCAGAGGCAATTTATAGATATATAAAAACAGAAGGCAGTCTCACTGGCACTCTTAGAAGATGCATTTAATGGAAAAGCAGTTGAGGATCTTAATGATCTGGCGGGCACGTAAAATTGAGAAAAGTCTCTGAGGTTATTTAAAGGTGTGCAAGCAAGTAAAAGAAAGCTAAAAGTAAGCTGGTGTAATGTCTCAAGCAATGTGGTAATATGATCCATTTTCCTTGTCCAGTTGAATCCAGTGAAATGGAAATTGCAACAACAACTAAACAGCTAGTCGTGGGCAAGAATACGAAGTTTGGCCTCTCACTGAATTAGAAATGATCTCAGTTTGATATATTTAAAATGGAAAACTGATCATCCTGAAATGAGAATCAAAATTTTATTCAGTTTTTGTTTTAAGCTGTTTGCTAAGACTTACTGGTTGTAACTGTTAATCATCTGATGGTAATTAAAATGATGATTGTTGATGGTATTCGTAATATTTTCTAATGCTTCAGTCACACTAAGGGAAATGGCGGCTGTGGCCATGTGCAATGAATATTCAGTCTCACTGCTTTTGAAATAGTTGCTTTGAAGACAAGGGCCAGGTCTGCAACCACTCACAATAAGTTACCATCTTATAAATGTCTTTAGTGCATTAAGACGGCAATAAAGTGGTGATAAGACGGAGCCAGTCTCCTATCAGTTTGCGATTGAATGAGGCTAGGTCAGCAGTTACGTGCAGTCTGTGATAATACACATTAACTATTTAGATTTAGAGTCTGGCCTCAAAACCTTTGTTACTTTGGGACAAATTCAGTTGCCTCAAGGCGCTTTATATTGTAAGATAAAACCCTGCAATACAGAGAAACCTGAGAAACCCCGAAAATCAGATGACCCCCTGTGAGCAAGCGCTTTGGCGACAATGGGAAGGAAACACTTCCTTTTAACAGGAAGAACCAGGCTCAGGGAGGGACGGCCATCTGCCTCGACCAGTTGGGAGTGAACGGAAGAACAAAGGCATTCAGTAATCTTGCGTTTGTATAAAAAATACAACCAGCTGAGTCGTGTCCCTATTGCAAAGAGATGTATCACAGATGCTTTGCACTCATTGCGCAGACTGACTCAGGCTGTTGTTGATCTGTCTGTGTTTATAAATCAGAGAAATTAGATACTTTGCAGTCAGTCTGAGTCAGATTGTTATTGTTGGGAGACAGGTTGTCGCCCATCAGTCAACCAGTCATGTGAAAGTGTTCGCCTAGAGTTGGGGTGTGTTGCATGCTCAAGCCCTGGGCAGATTTAGCAGTAGCAAGAAAATTAGTGCCCTTTTTCTACTTTAGTGTGACTGAGACATTAATGAATCAATTATAGAAAAAATTTAATTTAGGCCCAGAATGGTTCCTTGAGAATTACCATATTTAATACCATGTCTTTAATACCAGAGAATCCAGGCTGACAAATAAATAAATAAATATATAATAAAAATAAAGTGATTAACATCTTAATTTAGCCAAGACGAAACAATGGCACAGTGACCCAACCTGTCTAGTGCATGAATTAAACATTGTGATCACTTGTATCAAAATCTACACTGAGGTCTGAGACAAGAAGGACAGTAACCATGTTTGCATTCACAAAGATTTTAGGCCATTAACAGCTGTCTCAGTGCTCTGTGATGAACGTTAAGCAGATGGAAACTTTTTTAAGTAGCTGTTGTTGGTTGATTGAAACGCCCTTTCTCTAAAAGTGGAGAAAAGAAAGTAGAATGTAAAGTGAAGAGAACAGAAATGATGTAGATAGATTAGATTTCTTTGAGTGTTTTTACCACTGAAAAGTTGTTGGGAGGCACTTGAGTTAAGAGCTGACTTCATTATCTTTGTTGCAGCTTGGTAGATGCTATAACAGCTTTGGAATTGGAATAGTATGTGGAGCTCATCATACTAGTATTTTAATGATTTAGTGATTTTCTTTTTTAAGACGCCTGCTTAGTAATCTATGAAGAGATACAGAGAAACAGAAACAGTAAACACAGAAACAAATGAATTGCAACATTACTCTGTGATGCTGTTAATCTGGTAATCGCTCATTTTAACCTTTTAATTGTATTTTGTAGTTGGTAAACCGGTGCCATCTTTCTCAAAGGACCAGATCGCTGATAAATACTCATGGCAGGGGACATCCCAGAGGTGTTTTTTCTTTGCATATGCAAAACAAATATGCAAATGAGTCATTATTGAGACTAAATAGAGATGGATTTAGAAGACTGTCAAGTGCTGAAAAACCACTCGTCCCTCTCTCCGTTATAGAAAAAATTAAATACTGTGTTTAAATTTCAGAGTGGGCAGTGGAGAGCCCTGAAGAAGAATACAGTGAAAGATACAGAGATCTCCATACTCAAACTCACATATACACCTCCGCTGTGTGCTTAGCCCCCACTGCTGGAGCGCAGAGAAGCTCCCATGTTGCCGTGGTGACTGCGATGGAAACAAGGGGCTTGTTCTTGACTGACGGCCGCTGCATTTGTTTGTTGTGTGTCAGTGTGTCTTCAGATGCACATGCATATGCGTGTGGTTCAGTCAGGCACGTTTCCCTTTTAAACACCACGAGTGGCCTAATTAACCATTCATTCACAGTTGGTGCAACACAACACAAACAACTGGCTCGCTGTGGTTTATAAACGAACCAGTTATACATCAAAAGATCCCCCAAACAAATCCATCTAAAATAGAATAACAAATTAATTTACTTTTTTTTTCATAGAAAAGAAATTGGTGTTCTTTGTCATTTAGGACATTTTCAACCCCCTCATTTTTGTGCTGTGGCATAGAAAGGCTACTAATGAGCCTCTCATTGCCTCGTCTTGTTATTAAGTATTAATGTTCCTGTTATTTTTAACATGTGGAGACATCAATTTTGGGGTCATTATAGCAGAGGCTCAGACCCTCACAAAACACCTCTGACTGTCTAAAACTGTGTGCCCAGATGTTACTTTAAATAAGCAGAGGAGGTGGCAGCGATGACAGTGCCACTGCTGGAAGGTTTTTACATTTGCCTGTTGCTGTGACAGAAAGTCTGTTGATCTATGCGTGTGTTAAGAAGGTTATATATATTTAACTATATTTTTGTGACATAAATAATTTCTTGTGAATCTTATTCCCTTCTCTTTTTATCCTGTGGAACATTCTTTTGTTTTATTTGTTGACTTAACTTTGGTTTTATATTTTTCTTTATATTTCTTGCTTTTGTAGGAGCTTTTCATCATCCCCGGTATAAATGTTAATTTCCAGTATACTGACGAATCAGGATTCAAGACGTGAACCAAACTTGTGACTTTAGCAGTGCTAGGGAATTTGGACTGCTTATTTAAAACAGTCATTTTGATTTTTTCACTCCTCCTCCTCCTCGTGTTGTAACACAGAAAACTAAAATAAATCTAATTTTCTGCTTAGTGACATGCTGTAACAGTTGTCAGACCACAATACACAAATCAGCTGTTTAATCGGCATAATTCAGGTAAGCTTCAGTTTGTTGGACTCGGATGTTATTCTCTGCTGTTTGATTTGGGCAAGCAAAATAAATAAACCGCCATCCAAACATGATGTCAGAATTGATAACTTTTTCCACTATTGATGGTAGATCTGTTGCATACCATAAATCTATGGTCGTTAACTGGCAGGTTTGAAACCATAAGCGTCTGATGAAACTTTGGCAAATGAACTTGTTTATTGTCCCAGTTAGCAGCTTATGACACTCTATTTATTAGTAAATAGAGTGTCACTTCTGGTTTTGGCCTTGGCTCGGTGCTGAATTTGTTGGTTTTCAGATTTGTTGCTATATAAATATAATTGAATTCCCCTGAATTAAATTATGGAGCACAAAGAAGTAGTAAACCAGCACATAACCCCGCGTAATAAAAGCAGTCTGTCACTTTTGGACATTTCTGTTCTAGTTGCACTTGGTATGGTTTTCATATCCCTTAAAAGTCAGAAACTGGATTAGTTCATTTGAGTTTGACTATTTTTCTCAAACTAGCACATAAAACTATAAATGGTCTTTCAATTACCCCTTTCCAAATTTCAGTAATAATTGCACTATGGGTGGCTCTCAGCTGTTGGTGGAAAAATGATTGCTAAAGAATGCATGAATACGATATGAGGTTATTAATATTTATTAGCCTATTACATAAAAAACCATAATACTTCAACTTTATTGATCATTCAATCAATAGATTGTGAAATAAAATGTAAAAAATGAACCACAGCTAGCTACATAAAACTGTCTCACTCTCATCAGAACTTTCTTCTTTCTCCTAACTTATCACACTCTTTCTTTCTTTCAGTAAAGCTATTATTATCCACTTCTGGCAAATCATACACAGCATGAGAAGAGTGGCAAAGCACATGCGTAGTTAGCAAACATACAAGCGCACTCAAAGCTCTCAGTGCAGCTATATTACAGGAATAGAGTGTGTGAAGCATATGTAGACTCTGTGTAAAGTGAGTGGGTGGCCGAAGCTGCAGATTGATGGGAGACCCCGTGCGTACTGTTAAAGCCAGTCAAAAATCCTTTTCCCTCCCTTCCTTCCTCACAATAGGAAAATTGAGGCTTTGGTCTTCTCTGGATATGCTGACTCTGTATTTGATGATGATGATTTTGTTTTTGTTCCTTAATTGCATCCATGCTGTGTTGTGTGTTTATACTTGGATTTCATTAAGCCCTATGTGTTCAGGGTTGTCCTACACTTTCAATCTACTATTTCACCTGCTTTTGGTACAAATGCTGACCACATGCAGAATGACAGTTCAATAAATCTATTGTGTTGGCATAAGTTGATAAAAAACAATAAGCCCCACTAACCAAATTGGTGTGGTCGTGTGTTCTGAAATATACTGCGTTTGGATATGCTTGTTAAACAGGATGCCTCAGCTGACCACATTCAGTCTGCAATAACAGGTCATCTATAATCAGCTTCCATTCTCCAATAAACACATATTTATATTTTCCATCTTAACAGCAGTGTATCTCATTATCATCTCCCTCTCTCTGATAGCCACTTACTGCACCACGGAGTTATGGGATTGTTCCTGCATAGTGTCGCTTGCCAATGTGGTAAAATTACGGGCATTAACAACAGCCTATTAAAGCTACAATTGCATCGCACTGCTGGATTACTTATTGATATTTGGCAGAATTGCAGCACTAAAAATTTTAATGTAAACATAATAAATTCTGGGGGGGCGGTAATAAAAACACAATAAAGAGAAAGATCAAACAGCATTTATTATCATCTTAATATAATTTATATTTAGATAAAACTAAGATTGACAGTTAAGTGTAGTGGTGCATACATTAAACAATGGATTTAGTGTATACATGCACAACTCTTGCAGAATAATCAAGTTTGCTTTAAGCTCAAAGTTTGTGTTTTCTGGTTTTGTGTACCAAAGCGTAAATTAATAATAGCATAGCCTCTGCTAAGCACAAAATCACAGTAATTCCAGTAAAGATTTAGTCTCAAGAAATAAAAATGAATAAACCTCTTGTTTTTTTGTTTTAATCAAAGCCTCCAAGGGTAAAGTACATCTTTGACTCTTCTTTTCATGTGTTTGTGGTCAGAGGTCACTGTCTGTATGTTGTTATAGTCCAGGACTGTCTGGATTTCAGCGGTCGGCATTCATCTTCCTTAGCTTTGGTGGCAAGTTATCCTCCAACCTCCCACCGGCTGAAAGAAGTGGGCTGTGCATGGGAACCGGAGCAGGGGACAGCGTGGATGGCAGGCTGTGTTGGTACAGGTCTCCAGTTGACTGGGTCATGGGTTCAAAGCCCACCTTGAGAGACTTTAACCCTAGACGATTTGCTGCCTCGGGGCCAGGTGAGGAACTGAGACGTTGCAGCTTTAGGGGGAGGTCTCCGGTGCTGCAGGCCTTCTCTGAGTGCTGGGAGCTAAGCATAAGCACTTTCCTCTGAAGGTCCTCCTTCCCCGATGAACTCATCCTCTGCAATTTGCTTGGAAGTCGAACCCCAGTCCCTACATGATGGCCCCTTTCCTCAGTAGTGTTAATACAATCCACAGAAAACACGCGGTCACGTCGGGCACCGTGGCTCTCAGTCAGTGCGGGGGTAGGAGTAGACAGAGGCGATGGGAGAGAATTCTTCTCTTCATGCTCCTTGACACTGTACGGTGGTGTCGGCACCTCGAACGTGCTGTGGAACTGAGAGTAGTCGACCCTGAAAAAACCCTCTTCCAGGGACATTACTGGTAGGAAACGATGGCCCCATAAAACCTCATCCTCAGTGTATGACGTTCTTGCCTGGCATGTCATACCTAGAAGAGAGTGACGGCAGTAATAATTTTAATAACTGCTATTAAATGGGGTTTCAGCAAAACAATTATAGGGTGATAACGAGGAATCTGTAGGATCGGCATCACTGCATGCTATCTCTTTTCTCTCTCCTTTATTTCTTGTGATGACAGCTTCATGCTTTGCTCTGTGTGATTATCCAGTTCAGTTTAGTCACGTACTAGAAGATTTAAAATAAACCCACATGAAAGGGCTATTGCATTTCCCAGTTCATAAAAGTAACAAGAGGCTTTTACACCCTAATGTTTTTATTTTCAAAGCTTGCCATGTTCCAATACTGATGTACTGTAATGGAATATGTGAGATGAAGATTATTATATATATATATTAGGGGTGCAACGATATTCGTATCGATATTGAACCGTTCGATACAGTGCTTTCGGTTCGGTACGCATATGTATCGAACAATACAAAATTTGTAATTTATTTTATCAACTTTCCTTCTGACGATGCTGTCTGTGTTGAGCGCTCAGTGAATCTGCGTTCGACTACTCCGCCTAGGGTCGACAGTGCAGCCTAGGCGGAGTAGTCGAACGCAGATTCACTGAGCGCTCAACACAGACAGCATCGTCAGAAGGAAGAGCGCAGGGCAAGCTAGCGAGACAGAAGTTAAGCTCTCCTTACATCATGGACCTCCCCCACTCTCATTCAGATCTGGCGTTTGGAATTATTTTGGTTTTCATGTGACGTATGACCCTGAAGGTAAGCGAGTCATGGACTAAAGTAAAACAGTATGTTGGATGTGCCATGCAATGCTCAATTACATGGGTGGGAACTAGTGTGTTAGCGCAGTTAGCTCGTTAACGTGTTGGCCGTCTAGCCCCATGCACAGGTGATCGGCGGTAGCTCGTTAACGGAGATTTGCCGTGTTGTGGCGTTAAGGTCATTTCAACGAGATTAACCTGAAAGCACTAGTGGGAACACAACGAATATGACTGCACATTTACGCCGACATCATCCTAGTGCAAAGACAAGTGGAAGCAGAAAAAAAAAAGCAAGCATGCTACTAACTTTAGCCGAGTCATTTAGACAGCTGTTTAATATGCTGCTGAGAATATAGCCCAGAAGAAGCGGATAGTATAGCTTTTATTTTGGAAAGAGACATTTCTCTGTAATAAACTCTCTTTTCCAAAGATGAGTGATTCCTCAATCAGATACAGGGCTCGCAATATCGCTAGCTCAACGTCCCGGGGCTAGCGATTTTTTCAGTCGGGCTACCAAAATCTATCTCTTCCCTGCCCGTCGGGCTATTGTAGGAAGGAAAAATATATGTCAATGCTTTTGCATTCTTTCGGAAATGTAGCTGGGTAATTATGTCATTGGCATCGGTGAGCCACTGTCAATATGTGACATATTGAAATCGCGTTTGAATTTGCGCTTGTTTTTTTGCTTTCACTTTGCAATCGTGCAAACTGTGTATAGAGAGCGACAGCACTGATCTGTGAGTGATGATAATTTGCGCACCAATTCCTCTGACATCGTCTTATTAATCGTTAGCTTACTATGCAAACATGACAAGTGAAATCTCCCGCAGCTTAAACATGTGAGAGGTTGATCGCGCAGAGAATCGCTGAGCTTATGTGAGTGCGTGTGTAAAAGCAGCAAGATTTATATTTGACTACGATGACCTGGATGACTGAGAACCTTCACAGACAGATATATATTTTAGTTCTGCTGAGCCAAATAAGACTGGTCAGGGTGAAGAAGTGACAGCCAAAGAAAAGCTTACCACAAAACGGAAAAGTTATGACAAATCAGACTATAAGGCAAAAAGAAAGTGCAGCTTTATGGTTTCATGGACAAAAGAATTTCTGTGGCTGCAATATGACGAGCTAAATAACCAGGGCTGCACATAAGTGGTCCGCAGGTGCGCATTCGCTGTCAAAATAAAAAACACGCACAAGGGTTAGGGTTAAATTTAAAAACTGTACTTTTGAGTTAAAATATATATTTATAATTTTAATAAATGACAAATTAAAACGGCATGAACATTTTTTTTGTATCGAAAAAATATCGAACCGTGACACCAAAGTATCGAACCGAACCGAACCGTGAATTTTGTGTATCGTTGCACCCCTAATATATATATATATATATATATATATATATACATATATGTATGCATATATTTCTTTCCTGGATTTCATAAGCTTTGTAAGTTTATCTTTCCTTGATCTGGTAAATTATTTTCACATTTTCTTCCATTAATGGTGGCTAAAGTTGGCAGATGGTTTAGGCAAAGCTGGTTGTGATAATTGCTCATTTAAATCTGATCATCGTGATGCTCTTACATCAAAACAACATGGCATGTGTTCTGTCTTTACTTGTCTTTATTTAACTCTCTGTGTTGATTGCAGCTTCAGTCTTCGGCCAGCTAGAAGAAAATCATCTGTTGGCAAACTGGAATCAGTTTTCATCATGCTCTGGTGGAGGGCCTAAATTATAGATGATGTATTAAGCAAAGATTTCTAGTAATGGGGGTGCCTGTGCGTCTGCTTTGTGTACAAGTTTTCCATTTGACCTGAGGCTTGTAAAGTAATTTTCTTGACTTTTGGATGTTTGTTGGAGGTCATTCGTGATCAATAATCACTTAGTTTGAGTTTCTTTTCTGATCCAATGGCTTTGCTACAACCTGAGCTCTTCTGTGAAACACTACAGTTGGCTAAAGAGTAGGAGTCTGATCCAGTCCCTCTGAGGGATGATATGTTCTGTGTTATGTCATAACCTGATGCTATTCCAGGCACACGACTCATCTTCATCCACAGAAACTCTTCACCATTTCTGTATTTTTTTTCTAATTGCCTTAAGGCTCAGCTTTAATTGCAGTTGCAAGTTTAGGATAATTTTCCAGCATTTTCTCCACTCTTACCAGTAAAAAACTGAACTTCAGTTGATTATAGTTGCACAAGACAACAGTAATATCAATGCAATGGAAGCTTTTGGGTCGAGTCTGACAGGCATGCTAGTTAAGGTTCATCATTTAAGCATACTTTAGGTATTCTGGTTAATGTCTACTGCTTTTTGCATAAAAATAAAAGCCCTCGGCACATCAAGACTTTATGTAAAATTCCTGACACTGGCAGAGGTTAGAGAGTACATCAACTTCATTTGCTGAGTGTTATGTTAGGGTCAGCGAATTTACATAGTTGCACGTCATCTGCATATTGTCAAGGGGCAGCCTAAAGATGAAGTCAATATACCATTAAAAGGACAAAAAAAAAAATCTTATGCCATGTTGACTGCCCTTTAGTTTTATAGTTTCTTATATAGAGCTAACAAATTCTGCCATTCTCAGTTTTCATCTCATTAGGTTGCCAGAAGTCAGCACCAGCATGGATCTTGTGTGATGCTGGGTTCAAGCGACAACCCATGTGATCCTGTTCTATTGCCACACAGAAGAAACTAACTATAACTCGTTGTTTAAAATCAGACATAAACGAGAGCTTGGAATTGATTTTAGCTGTCAGAATTTTTTTTATCAGCAATGAAATTAAGTAGTTTTGTCACATTGTTGAAAACAGAAAAAAAAAATGCCTTGAAGACATAAACTAAAACTGACAAGAATTAGAGCCACTGCATGGTAATCTGTCAAGTCTGGTTGAAACAAAGTGAATGAGTAGGAGAGACGATCAACAAGCTGAACAGCTGTGTCAGCAGCAGCTGGATATACCGGGAAGCTGTTAATGTGTTTGGGGTAATGGGATGTGGGTTAGTGTGAAGATGCACATACGGAAATGACATTTTAAAAATATGCTTATTTTTATTATTGTTATTATTTTTAAGCATTCCTTTTCCATACAGTTGACAGCATATTGTGGACAATTGTAGGTGACACTTCCAGGGCTTTCCTCTTCTACTCCTAAGCTCCGAGTGCTGTGCACTGCGACACTAGACTTCTAGCTGCACCCTGATTTAATGGTGTTATCAACAGAGCACAGCCGTGTTGCCTGCCTGGCTTCTCACTTCCCGCTGATCCTTCCCTTCTGCTCTAAGCCTATTCAGCTCCATGGTTTCTCCTACAACAGTGACACAGGCAGGGTTATGGGGGGATGCCTAGAAGCACGGCTGAAAAGAAAAGAGGAGGATGGATTTATTTGTATTGGACTTTTGGGATGAATCATTGTGTTAAATATGCAACAGAGAGATCTGTGTTGTTGCTGAGGGTACTCCAGCATGGCTGCCTGTAGCGTACAGCAGCGGCTTTATACCAGTGTCTCACACCCTCTGAATTACTTCTGCGCTCAGCTGTCATGTGAAAAATTGAGTGGAACTTCAACTAAAACCTCATTCATCAAAGTGACACACGCATCTACGACCACAGGGTTTTATTATGCATAGAGTAGACATAAACTAATTCTGCAGAAATAAAATATCCCTTGAAATTCAATCAGTGCGTCATTCTCATGTGTTGATGTCATCCTTGGTTTCTCCAGTTCTTGTGCTGTTCAAATATGCCAAACTGGGAAGGTGGGGAAATTAGATTCCAGATTATGAGTATCTATTTGATAGGAGCGTTATGTGGCTTGTTATTAATGTTGGACTTTACATTTAGATTGGGAGTGAGTAAAGCGGGGAGAGAAAACAAACAATGGGAATGGGGAAGGACACAGTTTAAAGAAATGGCGTAAGATTGCTCACCGGTAGTTTCAACGATGCCCTCGAGGATAACGACAATTTCAAACTGTTCACTCATGAGAGAGCGCTGGGATAGGTCAAAAAAGGGGCTCTTGGGATTAATTTCATGACAAATGGTGAGAGGGGATACCAGAAAGAGCTGGTCTGCACCCGTTCCAAAGCCTACATCCAATTCGCACTGGTCCAGAGGCAGGAACTCGCCCTCAGGTGTCTGACGAGACTGAAAGATAAAAGTCACACATAAGTAGACGGAGACAGAGGAAAGTGTAAAGAAAGCAAAACAAAAAGATACAAAAATAAAAGAAAGAGACAGGGAAGTGATAATTACATTCATGTAGTCTTTAAAAAGTCAATTGAGTTCTTCTGTCCACCTATAAATGAAATATTTTTGTATTCTACTTGGTACTTTATGACAATGTTAAAATGCCCAGTATTACAAGTCCAATGGAAAAGTGTGGCAAGTTAAGTACCTCATTTGTAATTGAGCTGTATATGAAAAACTATTTAAGCTGCTTTAGCATGCTTGTACTTTCTGCCCATCTGCAAACTGCTTTGCAACCCACTTCTGCTCCAACTACTCCTTTCATGCTGTTCTCAATGCTGCCTGCTTTCTCCTGTGCTGGGTTTTGTAGTTGATGTCTACCTTCAAATCTAAAGGACAGCAGATTGAAATAACATCAATTAATTCGAGTATAGTGGTCCAGACTCAACTGATATTTTAAAAGCAGACCGATAGACTATAGAAATATTATTACTTTCATCTAATTAACAAGTGTTCCAAAATTTCATGAGTCAAAAGGTGAGAAAATGCATTTCTCTTAAAATATATAACTCTCTCACTCTATATATATAATCCCTCACTCTCTCTCTGTGCTATCTTGTTTGCCATGTCCACAGACTTTGCGCTTCACATTGATTTCTAGGAGAACTTGCAGGCAGACGTATGAGACAGCTGTGTTTGGACAGGACTTGCCCACAGAGCGTTAACTGGTGCGGAAGCATTTAATTGCCCAGATGATGTTAGAGCTCAGCACCGGGGTCCTGGATGTATTTTCTTCTTTCCTGTCTTATTCTGTCTAATCAATCTGTTCACCTTTTCTCTTCACATTTTCTCAATTAGCAGTCTGTTTCACCTGTTATTACAAAGTCTTTTACATTTCAAGACATTTTCTGACATCCTGCTGCAAAAAGCCTTTCCGATTTTCAAAAGCTTCAGGGTGGGCCATTTATATGGATACACCGCAATAACATGGGAATGGTTGGTGATATTAAAGTCCTGTTTGTGGCACATTAGTATATGTGAGGGGGCAAACTCCTCAAGATGGGTGGTGACCATGGTGGCCATTTAGAAGTCGGCCATCTTGGATACAACTTTTGTTTTTTCAATAGGAAGAGGGCCATGTGACACATCAAACTTATTGGTAATGTCACAAGAAAAACAATGGTGTGCTTGGTTTCAACGTAACTTTATTCTTTCATGAGTTACTGTATTTACAAGTTTCTGGCCACTTATAAAACATGTTCAATGTGCTGACCATTGTCTTGGATTGTCAATGCAACCCTCTTCTCCCACTCTTCACACACTGATAGCAACACCGCAGGAGAAATGCCAGCACAGGCATCCAGTATCCGTAGTTTCAGGTGCTGCACATCTCGTATCTTCACACCATAGACAATTGCCTTCAGATGACCCCAAAGACAAAAGTCTAAGGGGGTCAGATCGGGAGACCTTGGGGGCCATTCAACTGGCCCACGACGACCAATCCACTTTCCAGGAAACTGTTCATCTAGGAATGCTCGGACCTGGCACCCATAATGTGGTGGTGCACCATCTTGCTGGAAAAACTCAGGGAACGTGCCAGCTTCAGTGCATAAAGAGGGAAACACATCATCATGTAGCAACTTCAAATATCCAGTGGCCTTGAGGTTTCCATTGATGACGAATGGACCCACTATCGTTGTACCCCATATACCACACCAAACCATCACTGATGTTCGACTAATGCCACTCTCCAGTGACATGCAGCAAGTGCTACGCTGTGGGCTCTTGCTGAATGAAGCTAGGATAGCCACTGATGTTTCTTCATTAGTGACAGTTTTCTTGTCCACATTTTGGCAAATCCAACACTGAACCAGTTTCATGAAACTTAGCAAGCAGTTTGCTAACTGTAGCATGGGAGATGGGTGGTCTCGCAGGGTGTCTTGCATTGAAATCTGCTGCAATGACCCGGTTACTGCGTTCACCAGATATCAACACAATTTCGATCCGCTCCTCACGTGTTAACCTCTTCGACATGTCAAAGGCTGTGAACAAAGAGAAACGTGTAACTAACTCATGAAAGAATAAAGTTACGTTGAAACCAAGAACACCGTTGTTTTTCTTGTGACATTACCAATAAGTTTGATGTGTCACATGGCCCTCTTCCTATTGAAAAAACAAAAGTTGTATCCAAGATGGCCGACTTCTAAATGGCCACCATGGTCACCACCCATCTTGTGGAGTTTGCCCCCTCACATATACTAATGTGCCACAAACAGGACTTTAATATCACCAACCATTCCCATTTTATTACGGTGTATCCATATAAATGGCCCACCCTGTATAATTAATGTGAAATATTTTCATAGCTATAAAAAATGTAGGAAGGGAAGATAAAAACAGGTGTGGGTGGGGAAAAAAAAGTCTTGAGAATCAAAGATTATTTTGGCAAAAATCCACATTTAAGATAATTAGGAACAATATCTTCTTTGGCATCGTGGAGCTCAGTTAAAGTCAGTTATCAAAAAAAGATGCTTGAACTCCTTTTAAAGTAAATTAATGTCATTAACTCCAAAGAAAATAATCTGCAAAAAGATGATTTTACTCTTTTCACAGATTAATTTTTAGATTCTTTTACATGACACCCTGCCTTCTCTACTCTTCTCTCTTTTTTTGGGTCATTGTTTTACCTCAAACCAATTATTTGGATGCGTCACTCACCAGCCACCCACCTAACAGCACACACTACTCCTCCACCTCAGCTCCACGCAGCTTCATAATGAACTCCCACACAGACTACCACACAGCCTCACCAGCTTCTCTGTAATGCTTTCTGCCATTTCTGGATCTTTTGTTCTTGTTGTGAATCTTAATAATAATCAATACACTATTCACTAAAACACAGTCCCCTCTTTCACCCCTGCCCGAAACACCAATGAAACTGGAAATTGGCCATTTGTAGGCTACTTAACACACCCCTAACCTAGCTGGGTCATCTGTTTACTGATCTAAGCCATTCTGTTTTACTCTGACCCAAATGAGTAACCACTAATTTTGCTCTGGCTAGAATAGAAATTATCTACTGGAGTTAGCTAGTTAAGCAGATGCTTGCTCCATGATTTGGTTAAAAAGCCAGTCTGCAGACTCATTGTTGATGTTTTCAGCCCACTGGTCACCAGCTGATTGAAGAGCGCACATTAAATTAAAGACACGGCTGTTGAAATATATTTGCATGCTTAGCCTAAACACTTATCTTATCACTTATCAGTTCCCAGAGTCAGAACCAGACACGGAGAAGCTGCATTCAGCTTTTATGCTCCTTATATCTGGAACAAACTCCCAGAAAGCCTCAGATTAGCTGAAACACTCAGTTTATTTAAATCCAGGTTGAAGACTCACCTGTTCTCAGCTGCATTTGAATAAAGCACCAAATCCACACTTTTAAGCTTAAATTTCAAAACTTACATTTAACTACTGATTTTATCTACTGTTCTGATTTTATCTGTTTTGATTTTATATACTGTTTTGTTTGTTTGTTTGTTTGTTTGTTTGTTTGTTTGTTTGTTTGTTTGTTTGTTTGTTTGTTTGTTAATTAGTTAGTTAGTTTATTTGCGTGTTTTAATCAATTTTAAATCATGCTTTTTATTTGTTCTTGTTTCTAATGTCTCTGTAAAGCACTTTGAATCACCTTGTTGTTGAATTGTGCTATACAAATAAACTTGCCTTGCCTTGCCTTATCTAAGAGAAAGCTTTCTGCTTTCAACTTGCAATAGAAAAGGAGTGAGAGATGAAGAGGGGCTGTAGTGTTTGGAATGTAGCTAAAAGTAGCTGAAGTTGCAGATATGTAAACCTAAACCCTAAATCTGAGAGCAGACAGCTGCTGAAAGTTTCAGCATTCAGGGAATACTTCTGGTAAATGGTAAATGGACTGGTTCAAATATAACGCTTTTCTACTCTATCTGATCACTCAAAGCGCTTTATACAACTAATTCATTCACCCAATCACACCCATTCACACGAGCATTTTTTCTAAGCTGTTAAGTGCTCCCTATCTAACATTCATGCACATTCACACTCCGATGGATCGAAGAGCAACATGGGGTTAGTATCTTGCCCAAGGATATTTTTGATTGAACCACCAACCTTCCGGTTAGTTGCTGACCTGCTCTACCATCTGAGCTACAGCCACCCCACTTCTCAACAACAGGGAAATAAATAATGATGTGCTATTTGGCCTTGAAATAAACCAGACCAGGTGATGTGCTGATGCCGGTCTTGCTACAGGTGCTCGGCAGAAAACAGCAGTTGGAGACCACAGCACAAACAACCTTTATTGTGACTCTGTGCAATGAACTTGCAGTCATGTTTCCTTTGAAATGGTTGCTTCAAAAATGGGGTCTGTGACCACTTAGAGTCAGTTGCCATCATTAAAGCAACTGTGGTGCATTAAAATGGCAATAAAGTGGTAATAAGAGATTCCTGGTTGAAGGAGTCAAGTTTGCAATTCCATTAAATTTTTTGTGATAACAGTGATAAATAGGTGGAAATTTACAAATTTCTTGCTGTCTGTTGCAATTTTGTTGCCATTTGTATACACATAGACTGCTTACATTCAGAGTCCAGCCAGAATCTCAAAGATTTGAAACAGAAATTAGTGATGTCATTGCTCCAGGACATCATCTTAACAGCAGAATCAGACAGGAACTCAAGCAGCTTTGCTTTCATGTAAGAATATAACTAGAATACGACCAGTTGAGTGGAGTCCCCATATTACATATATTGCTTGCAGAGTGTTTGCAGTCTGTTATAAATCAGCAATTACTAGCAGACCTTCATTAGTCTAAAGGGGACTACAATCAGGCCCAATCCAACCACGACTGTTTGGAGACAGTCTACCTTTTACCAGGGGACCTATGCAACCACACTGCGATTGAAAGTGGCTGCTGTAGTACTTTTAGATT